TTTTTCTAAGTTTTTTTTTTTTTTTTTTTGTCACCACTGTTTCTCAGCTCTCATCGAACGGATTTCTTTCAACGATACTTCAAAAGATCACAAATCGTATCTAGTTGAAGACATTACCCTCAAAAATTGAAAAAATTTCCCTTCGTTCCCCGTAAATGGAGGAAACCTCCTAAAAAAATTACAAATTTAAAAATCGATAATTTTCGAAATTTTTTTTACTAAAAACTGCCATAACTTTTTTTAAAAATGAACAAATCAATATAATTTTTTTTTATATAGATGCTTGATGTCTTTACCTATCATTTGGTATATTTTTTTCATAAATTTAACCCTTTACCTGCCCACAGGAAGGGATTTAAAATGATAACTTTTTCACAAAAAATTAACTTTTTCAACTTAATTTTTGAAACTGTTCCGAAAATACTGACACTTTTATATGTATCTTAAATTAAAGCTAATGTAATGTATTTTATTATGGAAAAAAAAATTTGACCTCTGGACATGTCTTCGTGGTAAAAATGGCTACCAAATACTATTTTTGGGTGAAAATTCTCGATTTTATATTTTACATTTTTTACTTTAAAATGCTATAACTTTTTAAAAATTGTATGGATCNTTTCGTGGTAAAAATGGCTACCAAATACTATTTTTGTGTGAAAATTCTCGATTTTATATTTTACATTTTTTACTTTAAAATGCTATAACTTTTTAAAAATTGTATGGATCAATACAATTTTTTCATGAGAAGTAGTATTTATATACATCTTTTATTCGACAAATTTTTTTTTTAAATCAGACTATTTCCTTATATACGGTGGGTGGGGGGGTTTCAATTCTGAAAAATGCACATAGAAAGTAGACCTTTTTCAACTTAACTTTTGAAAGTGTTTCGGAAAGTCTGACACTTTTATATATATCTAAAATTAAAGGTAATATAATATACTTTATCATGGAAAAAAAAATTTGACCTCTGGACTTGTCTTCGTGGTGAAAATAGACATCAATGTTAATAAAAAAATTAAGATTTTTGTAAAATAATTCTTTTTTATTTTTTTAACTTAATAATGCTATAACTTTTTGAAAAATGTATGGATCAATATAAATTTTTTTTTATAAATGCATGATGTCTTTACCTATCATTTGGTATATTTTTTTTATAAATCTGACCCTTTATCTGCCCACAGGGGGGGATTTAAAATGACAACTTTTTCAAAAAAATTTAACTTTTACACTTAATATTTGAAAATGTTTCGGAAAGTCTGACACTTTTATATACATCTTAAATTAAAGATAATGTAATGTACTTTATTATGAAAAAAAAAAATTTTGGACTTTATTTTGTCTTCACGTTGAAAATAGATTTTGGAATAATCCTCCAATTTTTTAAACTTAAACACTATCTAAAGATTTGCATCAAAGTGTTTTTTTTTTATAGTGATTTTAATCACTGTCAGATATCATTATACTTTATGCAACTATGCTACATCACCACTGTGCCTTGCCCCCCTGTGCTGGGTTTTTTTAAAATTAACATTTTATTTGAAAAAATCTAGTTTAATAAATAATTAAATTGTGGTTAAAATATTAATGGTACAACAAAACTAAGGGCATATTTAGAATCAGAATTAAAAATAAATTTCATAAACATTCCATAATCCAAATTTTGTTAAGCTGTGATATCAATCAAAATTTGAATTAAGGACAATTTAAAAAAAAATGAAATTTTTATACATTTTTTTCTATTTTGTGAAGGATCACATCTTATTCTAGTAGTATTAATTTTATATATTTTTAAATTATTTTTGAGTCATATTATTAACATATTACTTAAATTTAAAATAAGCTTATTAAAATATTTTTGATTTTACTTATAAAAGTTATTATTTTTTAATTGTTGCAATCAATTTAAAACTTTAATGTATAATTTATGTAGAATGTATTTTTTGTGATTGTAGTCTATTATTGATTTATATAATTTCAACTTATTTTAGTTGTACCACTTTATAAACACAAGCCGAGCTGACATAGAAAAGAAACCACCAATACCATTATCTGAAGATTTAGTTAGCTTAGCTCATGATGTTCTTGATATATTATCTACATTGCCTAATCAATCTAAATCTGCTCATGATTGTGTTCAATTAAGAGATATATTGATTAACCCATTTATAAAGGTTAGTATGAACATTTTTTTTTGCCACTGTAAATTTAATTGCAAAAAAAGATTATGTCGTATAATTTTTTAAAAATAATACTGTAATTTTTCGTTTGTCAACTAGTTTTTAGTAGATAATAAAAAGTTATCTTTGCTTAAATGTAAAAATATTTGTGAGAAGTTATTTATTGTTATACAAATCAGCCAAATTTCTTAAATTTCTTAAGGGGGCTATCATGATTATTTCTTTGGTCACCTCTAGTTTAGAGCTAGTTTTACAGGAAAATTTAACAGGGAAACTAGAATGAGACTATAATTTATCTATAATAAAATTAAAGAGATAAGTATATGTTTATAAATTACTTGAAAATGTTAATGAAGGGTTAGAGGTAAATAAATAAATGAGAAGTCTCGATGAGCTTTTGTCTCAGTTTAGTGCTTATAATAATAATTATTCATCATGACATGAAAATTTTAGGATAGTTAAATAATTTTCTAGTTATTACTTCAATACTATTTAATCAAATATGATATTATCACTTTTTATTTTATTTTATTTTTTGTTTAAATTAATGGTTGTAGCTTTTGAATATACTGGGACTATGCGTTCTTTTATGTGTTTATTTGCCCTATTTATTTAATGATTTTAGTCATGTGTTACAGGAAATTTCAATTTATGTATATTTATATATGATTCAAGGTAACATTTATATCTAAGTTTTTTCTTAATTAATAAAATGATGCTTGTTAAGACTTCGACAAAGTGTATCTAAATTCAAAGAAAAGTTTTCAAATATGAACATTAATTACTCGAAATCAGTTTACCTGTCACTGTAATTTATAGTGATAATCATAAAGTTCAACATTTCTTCATGTAGTTTCTTAGACATTGAAGTACTCAAAAATATTTGAATACACTAATTACATTCATACTTCATTATTTATTAGTCATAGTTTGTAAGAATTGTTTAATATATGTTAACATGTTTTATTTCTAATTTCTAATAATTATGTAAAATTTAAATTGAAAATTTTCTTGATGTCAATTTTAAAATATGAAAAATTAGCTCATTGAAGATAATGTTTAAATTAAAAAAACTTATTCACTTTTCTTATCTGACAATAATATTATTAATGTTGGAGTATGCACATTGCAAGGATATTTTATCGAAAGTTATATCATGTCCTAATGACGTTTTTTGAAATAGGTTATTGTCATTACATTATAAATTATAATTATAGTTAAAAGAGTTTATTTATTTAAAGTCAAAATTAAATGCAATCATGGTATTATAGTTATCTATGTAATTTGTACAAATTCAACTATTAACTTTGATCTATCTACAAAAACTTATTAATTGCATTTAAGTTTATTTTACTCAACTAGATTTATTTAAGCCATTGTGCGTTAAGCTTTAATTGTTAATACTGTAGTATTAAGTAATAGTGGATTTGCAAAGTAAATATTTTTAATTATTATTTTACAAAAAATATAGTTTAAATCGCTTAGCAGAATTAATAGAACTTTAGTATATTATTTATATTTCACCTAGATATTCATAGGATTTTCTTTTAGAACGAAAATTTTTAATGTTATGTTAAAATGCAGGCTATTTCTTTGTTGAGATTTACATGCATTAAAAAAAGAATTCTTGTTATTCAAAAAGATACGTTTTTAAAGTGGTAGTTTTATACTAATAGAAATTGAAATATTACTATATATTTGCTCGGAGCTTAAATAATTAATAATAATAACTTGGCTTTACATTTTATTGAGATTTAATTTCGTTCTTTATTCAAACCAAAATATAATTTGTTAAAATAAAGCATAGCGTACAATTTATTAGACAATTATTCTTAGTATTAATGCGTCGATATTGTACTACAGACTTAATCATTCTTTAAATTCTGTTTTAATACGTAATTTTTGTATCAACTGTTGCATTTCCACTGAATTAATTGAAATAATTGTATTATTTCCAAATAATAAACATGCACTAGATTTACAATAATTTAAATTTTAAGCTAAATATTTTCCTTAGTTTAAAATTGTCTAGGTTAACTTAATACTTTTGGGTATATTCAACTAAAGATACGAAATTACACAGATGTCATTTGCACTTAATGTGCCCTATTTGATAACGATTTCAAGAAACTTTAGTGGTTTTATACTTGTCAACTTGTATAAATTTTAAACTATTATATGTTTTCTAAGCACATCGACTTGTATGCTTCAGAAATTATGAAAGATACATCTGTGAACTTTGAGACATTTAATTATATAACTGTTGTTAGAAGTAGTGTGATGAATTTCGTAAAATTAGTGACAGTACGATGATAAAACATAGATTAGTAAGTTAACTCCCTGAGTATCATATATTATACTTGATGTAATTTTCTATTAGTCTTTTTTAGGGTTGGTACGATGTCAATTAACCGATCACAGTCCGGTTAAAATTAAAAATTAAAAACCTGTATTTTTAATTTTAATTTTTATCTTAACACAATTTTTTTGCACAATTATTTGTTATTTTATAAAAGTTTTTTTTACTTAGAATTAAATTTTACCGAAAATTTTAAAATAATGAAAAAAAAAACCCAGCAAAGGGGGGTCGCGGCACAGTGGTGACGTGGCATAGTTAGATCAAGTATAATGATATCTGACAGTGATTAAAATCACTATAAAAAAAACGCTTCGATGCAAATCTTTAGATAGTATTTAATTTAAAAAAATTGGTCGATTATTCCAAAAGTTACATGATCTGCTAGTTCCTTATTAATATCCTGATTAAGATAAAGTATGTCGAATGAAAAAAGGATTATTAAAAAATATTATTTCTCATAACAAAATTGTGTTGATCCATACACTTTTCAATAAGTTATAGCATTATAAAGTTAAAAATGTAAAAAATAAAATCAAGAATTGTTATACGAAAATAGCATTCGGTAGCCATTTTCACCTCGAAGACAAGTCCAGAGGTCAAATTTTTTTTTCCATGATAAAGTATATTATATTACCTTTAATTTTAGATATATATAAAAGTGTCAGACTTTCCGAAACACTTTCAAAAGTTAAGTTGAAAAAGGTCTACTTTCTATATGCATTTTTCAGATTTGAACCCCCCCCCCGTATATAAGGAAATAGTCTGATTTAAAAAAAAAATTTGTCGAATAAAAGATGTATATAAATACTACTTCTCATGAAAAAATTGTATTGATCCATACAATTTTTAAAAAGTTATAGCATTTTAAAGTAAAAAATGTAAAATATAAAATCGAGAATTTTCACCCAAAAATAGTATTTGGTAGCCATTTTTACCACGAAGACATGTCCAGAGGTCAAATTTTTTTTTCCATAATAAAGTATATTATATTACCTTTAATTTTAGATATATATAAAAGTGTCAGACTTTCCGAAACACTTTCAAAAGTTAAGTTGAAAAAGGTCTACTTTCTATATGCATTTTTCAGATTTGACCCCCCCCCCCGTATATAAGGAAATAGTCTGATTTAAAAAAAAAATTTGTCGAATAAAAGATGTATATAAATACTACTTCTCATGAAAAAATTGTATTGATCCATACAATTTTTAAAAAGTTATAGCATTTTAAAGTAAAAAATGTAAAATATAAAATCGAGAATTTTCACCCAAAAATAGCATTCAGTAGCAATTGAATACAAAATAAAGTCCGAAATTATAAATTATATAAAATGTATTAACTTATAATTTATAAGTCGTAAATTATAACTTAACTTTATTATTTTAAATCTAACTTAAAATAACTAGTTAAAAAAAATTACTAACTTGTTGTCCAACCTAAATTTTAAATAAAAGGTTACTGATAGTTTGATTAATAATTAATTATTATTTTATTACTGAATTATATAATTCGTCACGTCAAAATCTAGTCAATTGACCGTGAAAGATTTTGACTCATCAAAAACATAACCCTATTCTTTTCGCTTTACCCTATCTTGTCGTGCAGTCTTTGAGTATCGAAAACGATTCTTAATGCTTTTGTAATTGTTGCTCAGTAATAATTGATCACAAATTATAAGTGAACAAAAAGAACAAAACAGTTAATTTATTAGAATTCTGTTAGTTTTATCCATTAGGAGTATTTACGATTTAAAAAGAGTTTGAGCTTAGCAAGATTTTTACCATTTCGAGAACTTTTTATAATCATTAACTGAAGCATTTTTTTAGTGCTATTGTGTTTTAATAATTTGTTGTAAATAACATTAACCCTTAAACAGTCGCGTGGGGGTCTAACATACCCCTACATAAATAAAAACGGATGCATTATATTGCATAAAAGGTGTACATAGATATAAATTTAGAAGATGGTTTTTATTGTAATATTGAATCGAATTTTATAAATAAATACCTTCGAAAAAAAAATGTATGACTTTGAAAATATTCATCAAAATTGAAATGGGTCATATTTACCCCCACGCGACTTGTAACGTTATAATTTTTTTTTGGACTTGTAATTTTTTCAAAATATTGTTTTATTGTAAATGCAATGTTATAATCGATATAATATTGTGGAATTGGAATTATGTGGATCTACCACCGACTGTGCAATTAAGTTTTAAAAATAAATAATCTATTGATAATTTCTACTACTCGTTGATACGGAACAAATAAGAACAAAACATGTAATAAATACATCGCGTATATTAAACAGTATGCAAAGACTGTTGGGAGAAAAATCAATGTTCATCAGATTCAGAATAATTGTATATACTCGTATCTTAATGATTATATGTATTGTAATATTAATAATAAAAAAATTCAATTCAGAAAAACGATTATATAAATGTAAATACACATAAAACTAATAAATATAAGCTGTGTTTGAGCTCAAAGAAATACAAGAAAAATTAATTAAAATACATTTTGTAATAGTAAAAGCTTTTGTCTTTGAATTTAAAAAAATGAACTTTTTTTATACATATTTTATACTTTTTTAGAAATGGGGTCTGATAGTCTACGCGACTATGAACGTTAAATAT